CTATGTTCGATTCCTTCCAACTACTCGGCACAACTCCGGAAGCAAGGGATGTATTAAAAATAATGGTGATCGGCTCAGCTAGCACGTGAGCATACTCCTTTAAAATTCGAGGTGAAATATTGTCAGGTCCGGGGGCTTTAAAAGAATGGACAGTTTGGAGTTTCTTACAGACTTGGTAACATTCAACTGCAGGTACGCTTTCATTTGATGGTAAAAACGGTGGTAATAAGTTCACATCTAATGGCGGAATATCAGCGTTAACGGAAGTATAGAATTCGTTAAGGGCATTGGAAGCTTGTAAATTGTTTAGGATTTCACCATCGCGTTCTAAGGTGAAAGGCTTTGTTGTTTCCGGTTTGCCAGACATTTTGTTAATGATTTTCCACCACTTACGACTATCACTGTTTTTTAAATGCTGAACTTTGTTTTTATAAAATGATTTCTTTCTTTGCTTAATCTCCTCTTGGACTTTATATCTTAAAGATTTCCATAGGGGGATATTATGGTTATGGAATGCTTTCTGTCGGTCTTTAATCAGTTTTTTAATACTTGGGGTTATCCAAGGTTTATCGGTTTGATGCCACTTCACAGTTATAGGAGGGAATATACGATTAATGGCTTCTGTAAGGTGCGATGAGAATGATGATGTTAAATCGTCTACCGTTTGATTAGTCCCTAACTCGCCAAACCAGACATGTGTAGCGATCCATCTCCCCAAAGCTTCAACCCCAGACCTTGGATAGCGCCGGATGCGACGTTTGACAGATTTCGTACGTTCTTGAGAATTGGTATTCTCTAGACTGGGTGACCATGTTACAATATTATGGTCTGAGGACCCTAAGGGCGCTAAAACTTGGGGAGGTTCATACAGGTTTGGTTGGTTCGTAATTATCAGATCCAAAATGGTTGTTCCTCTTGTAGGGACTTTGACAACTTGCTTCAGGTTATGGCTTGATAAAATATTCGATATATCGAAATCGTTAAAATCACCAAGAAGGACTAGACCACAGTTGGAATGTTGGTTGCGTAATGAATCTATTGTTAAAACTAAGTATTCATTAAGTTGGCGGTGGTTTTCTGCAGGTAAACCAGGGGGATGATAGACTATGCACACTGCAATACCAGAGAGCGGTCTGGGAAGGCGGGTAGGGCGAAGCCACAGCCACAGACATTCTAAATTTTTATGTTCCAGGTCCAACCTACGTTTGGCATAGGTGCCCTGTGGTAGATACAGGGATACCGGAACCACGGGTGCAGCGGGCGCAGTTGCACCCGTTGCCTTTTGTCTTCACAACTTTACGGGTGCACTACGGGTGCAGAATACAGGTGCAACGGGTGCACAAAGCGCCCTTTTTGCGTGAAAAAATTTCATTAAAAATTGCATTTTTTGCGCAAAGGGCATTTTTGAAAAATTCAATCTATGTTATTTCCGGAAAAATGTTTTAATTTCCGGAAAAAATAACATTTTCCGGAAAAATTTTCGGTATGTCCGGAAAATTTTTTTTGTATTTAGGAAATATTGTGGTATGTCCGGAAAATTTGTTTTACCCCTAAAAGGGTACACTGACCAAAAAATTTTTGGCGACGGGGGGGGGGGAGGTCGCCAAAAATAATTTTTAGATGCCCTTTCATTTTCATTAGTGCCCTTTTGTTAAGGAATATGCCCTCTTGTTAACCAATTGCACCCCTTTCCCCCAGCAACTTCCGGCATCCCTGGGTAGATAAACACAAATTCCTCCTAAACGACGGCTAGAACGGTCTTTACGAAAAATGTTATATCCGTTTATCGAAACGAGTACATCCTCGATGTCACTGTTCAACCACGATTCAGTGACCGCCACTACACTGGGTTGGCGACAACTTAAAAACAAGGTGAGTTCATCTATTTTTGGAAGCAGCGATCTGGCATTAATACAGCAGAAATTAGGTAAATGTGACTTTGAGGACTTTGTAATACAGGCATTAGGTTTGTGTATGACAATATTTTTCAGATTTAGTATGTTAGAGCCACAAGGTCTATGGTGATTTTGGTAAGTTGTAAAAAATGGTTGGGATTTCCGTGCAGTAATTCGCGTAGGAATAGACATAGTTGTCACATTTCCTACCTCTTGCACAGTTGGTGTACAAAGTGCAAATGGCTCAGCCATTCGAGGGATTGGTGGCGATGGCCCGTTCGATAGGGTCGTGGTTTCATTCGATGGCGCTTGGGAAAAGGAGGCTTGTTCGAGGTATTTCCATTAATATATTGGTTATTTTTCGCTTGGATGGGTATATCTATTAACGGTAAAGAACCAATCCAATCCGATATTGGTTGCTTTTCGGGCATATTTGCAATTTGATTGATTTGTAGTGCCTTGTTTTGTAAGTCCCTATTAGTATCGTGAAACGGCACACTTTCAAGGTCCCTATTATTTACAGGAGCAGGGATGAAAGGTTGTAAACTGACGTTTTGAGATTTGCATTGATTTAACCCATTGTTGTTATGATGACCATTGTTTCGATGACCATTTCTGTTGCTTTTGTTCATAAGAGTGTTTTTATTAATCTCACTATTGTTATTGTTCATCGGAGCAGCAAATGTAGATGCATTTTTATTCTCAAGGGAAACAATGGTCAGATTCAACTTTTCAATTTCAAGGGATCATTCTTTCACAAATAAACTTAACTCAGATTCAAGTTTTTCAGATCTCGCCTTCGCAATCGAAAGTTCACTACGAAGACGATCAACTCCTTTATCTTTATGAGAATATTCGGTATTAGCATTTGCAATCGAATCGATTCTGTTAGATAGAGTAGTAATATCTAATTTAACTCCCTCAACATCAGCAGCTAGAACGCCACACGAACAGCGACAGTTCGACGAATAGTTGGAATTATCACCTATAATGTCTATATAAACCTGTGATGCGGCATTAACTTGGTTGGCCGGTCTTGATATAGGTGTAGGCTCTGATTCCAAAATATTTTGAGCAATGAGATCCCGCTGTAACTCTGAATTTTTCGACAGGGCTTGCACTTGTTTACAACTCGACTTCATAACACCATCCCGTGTCTGACAAAATTTGACACATCCATCCCGAATTAGGTTGCCATCTTTGCCTTGAAATAATAAAGTGTTTTGCTTGCATGAATACCACGTCAAAGTTAGTTCAGCATTGGAGCTTGTGAACCTCTTAGACCCACCTCCAGGAGAACACCATTTCCCGTTTAAGTCAAGCACTTCGGCAACAAACGCCTTAAGAGAGTCTAAATCATTGCACCATTTCAAACGTGTGCCCTCGTAAATAAGGTCGTTGCTTAAAGCATTACCAAGAAAATCAATACCAATAGTTGATAAATTAACAATTTCTTTACTAGATTTCTCAAGTAATGGTGGAATAATATCGGGGTTCGCCATAACACGTCTGGTCGCCATCTTGAACTATACTTAGTTTCGTAACTTAACAAGTCGTTCTCAGCTTGACCTTGTAGTATATATATATATATATATATATATATATATATATATATATATATATATATATATATATAAAGATAAAATAAACCTGGTTACTTCATAAGATTTATTCACTACACACTTGTTTCGTATGACATTTAAATTCACCTGATGAGTGTGGCAAGCATTGCTTGTCATACGAAACAAGTTTGTAGTGAATAAATCTTATGAAGTAAACCAGGTTTATTTTATCTTTATCTATATTAGCTCTATACTTCGGTATATCGAGCACTCTACTCATATATGATTCTAAATACATATTTGGTATATATATATATATATGTATATATATATGTTTTCTTTGTTCGTCCGAGGTTTAATAACTAGCTTATAGACCTTGAATAAATGATTGGATTAAACTTGTAGACAAAACGCGAGAATTTTTCATTAAAATTTTTTGAAAATGACAAAATATGTTGGAAAACCTCCGCAAGTGTGATATAAGTTAGTTATAAACCGAGTAAGTCGGTTTATAACTCTTATTTACATACATATATATATAACTCTTACTTACATATATATATATATATATATATATATATATATATATATATATATATATATATATATATATATATATATATATATATATATATATATATATGAATGGTGTTTTTTAAAAATAAAACAAGAACTTCCTCAGGCATAAAAAAGAGATAATGACTATAACCCAGACGTTTCGCCGGTTAAGGCTTCTTCAGTGGGTGAAAAATTTTACAACAATATTAAGGCGTCTTTTATACATGTCGTCCTAATTAGAATAGTATATAATTTAGTATGATGAGTGAATAAGTCTGATTGTTTAAATTAAAAAGTCTAAAAAAGTTGGTAGTAAAAAAAGTACAAGAAGGAATGCAACCTATGGCCGCTGGATGACGATGATTTTGACACACTTGTTCGCCTTTGTCTATCAAGTGATAATGTTCTAATTGAAGGGACAGGTTATAAACAGAAATCAGGCTTAGCAATGGGCAATAATTTGGCACCCATGTTGGCTATCATATACATGAATGATCTAGATTCACAAATTTTGGAGAAAACAGATGGCTATGTAATACTTAAACGCTATATAGATGATTACTTTGCATTTATGTTGTCAAAATGTATCTCAGGAGAACGCCTTTTAACTATAGCAAACGGCCTGAATGACAATATAAACTTCACCTTAGAACTACCCAACCAAAACCAATTACCCTTCTTAGACACGATTGTTTCCTTTAATCCGGAGAGTAAAACTGTTTCCACCAAGCTTTACATTAAGCCTATACACAGTCGTTGTATCACACCCTGGGACAGTCACGGACCTATCGCTGCTAAGCGCACAATTCTCATCGGCGAAACCAAGCGGGCAGTTACATGTTCAACCGACTCCAATTCACGTAGAGAATCATTGCGTCAACTCACAGATCTTTTTGTTAATAATGGGTATCCCAAGAAATTTGTTAAAACCACAATTAGAAACACCTTAAATAATAAATCTACCAGAGAGGATGAAATTACATATACCTATTTAAAGCTTCCCTTCATTAATGAAGAATTTAAACGGCGTGCCCTTGCAGTGGTAAAACGATCGGGAATAGACAACGTCAGAATTCAATTTATGAACGGAAAATCGTCACGTAGAGTGTTTGCTCCACCCAGAGAACGGACACATTGCTCTAAAGCTTGTGAAACATGTAAATGTACCAATAAAGTCGATAAATGTCTCAACAAGAATGTAGTTTATAAAATTAAGTGCTCATACTGCGAGGCATTATATATAGGAGAAACGGGTAGGACAATAGGAACACGCATCAAAGAACACCTGACGATGAAACAGCAAACAGTATATAAACATTTGATGTCCCACAAGAGAAAGAATCAGACACCTGGAAATAAAGACATTGAATGGAGGATTATATATGGAAACCTTGTGTATGAAGACGAGCGTAAATGCATTGAGGCGATGGAAATACAGAAGCATACAGGCGATTTAATGAATGGTTGTACTGGTAGAACAATAACAATCTAACATTTGGGATTATAATTATGAATATTTTAACATTTTTATCATCAACTGTATATACATTTAGAATTCAATCAGACTGATTTAGATTTTTAACATTTTTTACTACCAACTTTTTTAGACTTTTAATTCAAACAATCAGACTCATTCACTCATCATACTTAATTATATACTATTCTAATTAGGACGACATGTATAAAAGACGCCTTAATATTGTTGTAAAATTTTTCACCCACTGAAGAAGCCTTAACCGGCGAAACGTCTGGGTTATAGTCATTATATCTTTTTTATGCCTGAGGAAGTTCTTGTTTTATTTTTAAAAAACACCATTCATATATATATATATATATATATATATATATATATATATATATATATATATATATATATATATATATATATATATGTTTAAAGATTTGTAATCCAGGCATATTATAATTAATTAAAGTTCTCCGGATTGATATATACTTTTATTCAGCTTTCGACTCGGTACTTCGAGCCTTCTTCAGAGTACTGAGATTAAAATTACATATGTACATTATTTAATTAACGTTTTGCGGTCTTGCTACGTTCTTGTATATGTCGAGACCGTCTAATTGGCTGTTCCGTGGTTGATCTGATCTCATTGCTGGTTGAAGAGTGCGTTGTCATGGTTGAGTGAATTCCGCTGCTAGGGATGGCGTCATTGGAATGATGATGATGATTTTATTGATCCATCTTTAGTTTAAAAATACTATGGATTTACAACAATGTCTATTGCATGCATGTAATAATATTTACAAACTATCGGAAATTTTTATATATACAATTTGGAGTAAAAATTTGAATGTCTAGGAAATTAGTAAAAAGTTAATAAAAACCAAATTAAGTTTTAATGCAACCACTGTCTCATTGCTCGTGGGATAAAACTATTTCTGTGTCGTTCAGTGCCTGAAAAAGGTGCGTATTTAAATATACCGCCTCTGCGCCTAAGATTATGTACTGTTTAATAAACGGGAGTTAGGTAACATCGAGTTGGATTCGAGTTCGAGTTCGAGTTGGGCTTCGAGTTGGACTTCGAGTTGGACTTCGAGTTAAACTTCGAGTTAGATATTTTTCTTTACTTTTCGGGAAAATGACAATTGTATTTCACCCAACGCTTTTTGCTGCGGAGCGAGCGAGCCTGGAGCAAATTTACACTTATTATATAGGGGAATTTTTATCTTAAACCATTGTTTACCGCAGCTGTAGGCCTACATTGTGGTCGTGCGCGATCGGAAATGCTCAGTAACCTTTTTGTCGGTTGTGCTTCCACAACACCTTGTGGTAATTTTGAGTTGCAGATTACCTACAAGTTACAGATATTGCACAGCACACTCTCTACCTCCTCCGCAAGCCATACAGCCCCTAATGAGTATGCCCGTTCGCAGGTTGAAATTTGACAAGAAGGCTGCGGAGGAGGTAGGCACACTCCCTATATCAGGGTTTTCAGTGACTGGTTATATTAGACCCGGAACTGGCGTGAAGCAGACCGAGGTAGATTGTGAGCTTACAGATGACGCTTTAAGCAGCCGCTATTAGCCCGTACCTCATTAATGACCTGCCCCCCTGACCTGACATGGTTTCCGCACAATTTCTAAATGTTATAACAAATCTTTTTACTGAGATACCTTTTTCATATCATGTACTTCATTGTTTGTATTCTTAATTCGAAACAAAAGCACTCGTACCCTAATTTATTATATAGTAGACAGTGCCGGACACCAAAAAATACACAGTGAGATATTTTCCATAACTAGATCTCCACTAGTGAAGATATCGATTAAGTGTTCATTTTCTTTGTTATTTTTACTAACGACTATATAATAAAAAGAACATTAAATACACGGTGGCTTGAAGTTTCATATCTTATTATTTATCTTCTCGTGGTGAAAACTGAGAACAATATTTTTTACTCACTCAAAAATTAAAATTTATATCTTCGCACCGCCGTTAGTCTGCGATAGTAGACTGACTCAGCCGCCCCTCCCCCCCGGCCTCCCTCCCCCACAGGAGCTGCGGAGAAACAGCAGACTAATCTCAGAAGCAGAGCGTAAGAAAGGCTCTGGGTACGAGAATGAGGCAATGTTGATCAGTCTGCTATCGCATACTACACCCTGTCTCCGTATCCAGGCGTTTCTTTGTAAAAAAACAGCGATGCGCATATGATGAGTTCACATGAAGTATTTTAGTACACCGCCGTCTAACATCCTCTATATAGTACTCTCCTTGACCTTTCAAGACTAATAATGCAACATACCCTCACACGTAGTATTAGGGAGGCTGGACGCGCAGGGGCGGAAATATTAAAAAAAGGTAGTCATTTTTAGATTGGGATTAGATTAGAGCCAGATTAAGATTAAACCAGGGTTAGGGTTAGAGGTTAGAGTGGGGGTTGGGTGGGGGTTAGGGTTCAACTTAATATAAGGCATATCCTTAATCTTTAGCAAATTTGACAATTAAGGATAATCCCTAATACCACGTGTGAGGATATGCAGAATAGTACTGATAGTTTCGAATGCATATTTTGAACGAAACAATACTTAAAATGTACAAATTTTAATATATTCTTTTCCAAAATA